AGCAGCAATTGTGGTGACAGTGGTGGTGATTCGCAACAAGTATACAAATCACATCCAGAAGCATACCATACAAGTAGAATATTAGATGATGAAATTACTAAGTCAACAAGCTTAAAAGGTTATACAAGTAATGATAGCTCATTAAATAACTGATTTTAACTCTCTTATCTTAAACAAAGGTGAATTAATTTTTCATTACTAATTAATCGAAAATCACTATCCATTAATTATAACTAATAATATTTTTTATTAATAAAGAAATTAATGATGAAACGTATCTTTGACATTTGTAACCAAAAATTATTCAACATTCTACAAGTTCAAGCATTTCACAGGAATGACTTAGTATTGTATATTTATATAGAGTATATATAGTAATAGTATGAATGTTAGTATAGTATTATTTTTATTGTAAAAAAAATGTCCAATTTATTCGTGAAGTTTTTTTCTATAGTTTCAATTATTAGCTTCGTATAAATTCATTACAGTCAAACCTCGTTTCAACGAATTATAATTAAATTGGCGTTACATAGTAATAGTAATAGTAATTCTTAAATGAAGGATTAGTATGGAAACTAATTATTATTATCATCATTCAAAATAAAAATGCAAAATTTTTCTTCTTTTTACAAACTACATTTCATAAAATCAAAACGCGTTCAAATTATCTTTAGCACCAGAGTTTGAAACACGCATAGGCATGTATGTAAAGTAACTTTTACATACACACAAACTTGGCGTTTTTTGTTCGATTTTTGACTTTGAAGTTAACTATATACGCGTAATAGTAAACACACAACAATATTAAAACGTGCTTGAGCTGTTGTACATATGGATTAGTCAATATTAATGTTGGTATGTAGAATGGCTTTTACATAGTAAATAAGATAGGGTTTAGGTACAGACCTTTGTAAGTTCTAAAGTTTTAAGATACTAAATTTTTTCATTATTGAATCACAATGAATCAATCATTACAAAATTAGTATTTAACACGCTACCATGACAGTAATAAACATTCTTGCTTTAATAATAAGGGCGAATTGACATTTTCATTGTATAAATATAATTGCGAGAAGTTATAAGAAAGATAGGGTCAAAAAAAATGGCTTAATTAAACTCTTTTTCGCCCTTAGAGGGAATTACTTGTCAAGTAACCACACCATGACCGTAGCCGCAGTTATAAAACAAACAAGTGATTCTCTTATAAAAGAACCGGGAATTGCTATTGCAGTAGTTTATGTTTTGGCTGTACATAGCAAGTGTAGCGTCAAGTTGGTGGCCATGTTAGATCAAGGCGCAGCGACCCAATCACTATTTGATAAGTTTGTACATTACATTATTAAAATTGTCTCAAAAGGAAATTTTGGTTTCTATCAACATTTATCTTTTTTCTAAAATAAATTTTAAGTAAAGTTAAAAATGTCATATGATAAATCATTATCACCAGAAAGAGCGGGATTTGTATATAAAATTAATGATGAAATGTATAATAATGCAGTGGTTAATTCTGATAGAGAAAGTAGAAAAGATTATTTTTTTTCATTAGTTGAGAAAAACAAGGAGCTTTCTGAAAATGAAAAAGAATTTTGTAAAGAAAGGTTTATTTATAATTTTGAATTAGATAATGCAACTCATAAATTGGGCAAACTAAAAAAATGTAACAAGTGTAAATTGATAAAATACTCTGATAGATTCTGTGAAGGTTGCATTAGTATACAATTACAGAGTCTTTTCACCACTTGGACATCTGGAAATGACATAGTTAATAACTTTATTCAACAATGTCAAATGAAATCACCTTTGCCACAAAATATTTTAGAGTGGATACCTTTTGAGCAATTTGAAGAAGTGACAAAATTAACTGAAGGTGGATTTAGTTCAATTTATACCACTACATGGACAAGAGGTTATATAGTTGATTACAATGAAAATAAAAAGGAATTTAGTTATTTCGGAGAGCAACAAGTAGTATTAAAAAGTTTAAATAATTCAAGTAATCCAGGAAAAGCTTTTTTTGATGAGGTTGGTAATTTTTATTTAAAAACAAGAATAAATAATGCTGTATTGTATAACACTAATTGGTTTTATATTTAATTGCAGGCAATAAATTATTGTAAAATTAAATCAGCAGCAATTGCTACTTGCTATGGTATAACTAAATTCCCAGATAATGGAAATTATGCAATAGTTTTAAATCATTATCCAGAAGGAAATTTAAGGGGTTATTTACAAAAAAATCATTCTAATTTGACATTAAAAAATAGAATTGCAATTTTTAGATGGTTATGTGTTGCATTATATCGTATACATGAAAAAGATTTAATCCATTGTGATTTACATAGTGGTAATGTATTAATGGGTAGAGGAGGTACCTGTTATATTACAGATTTGGGATTATGTGGACCAGTTGATAAAAAGTCATCAAATAAAATATATGGAATTGTATCATATGTTGCACCTGAGCTACTTGTAGGAAAAAATGATACAAAGAACACAAAAGAAACAGATATTTACAGTATTGGGATGTTGATGTGGGAAATATTTGCAGGCCATCCACCATTTGATGATAGAGCTCATGATCATCATTTAATTTTTGATATATGTGAAGGTTTACAACCACCAATATTGCCAGGAATGCCTGATGATTATGCACAAATAATGCAAAAATGTTGGGATGTTGATCCATCAAAAAGACCAACTATTAGAGATCTTTTGGACTTTGCTAAAAATAAAAATAAAGAATATTTTAAAAATGATAGTAGTAGCAGCAGCAATGGTGGTGATAGTGGTGGTGATTCGCAACAAGCATATAAATCACATCCAGAAGCATACCATACAAGTAGAATATTAGATGATGAAATTACTAAGCCAACAAGCTTCAAAGGTTATACAAATAATGATAGTTCATTAAATAACCTTGATTTTAACTCTCTTCTCTTGAATGATGATTTTAACAAGGGCAAATAAAAAATTTCATTAATTAATAAACATTAGATCTAGTAATAATAGTAAAAGAAAGAATTGACGGATGCTAATTTAACCTCCACTATAAACTTATTCATTATAATTACTTGTCTTTTTATTTGTCTTTATTTATTTCTTAAAGCTAAATTATAATAATAATTTTGAAATAATAAAATTTTTGATCATTGTTAAATGGTAATATTACTAGGTAGCTTTTTGGTTAACGCTGATTACGGTCTAACTTTCAGGTTACTCTTGTCAGTTAATTCGGTGCTTGTCAATTAATTAGTTTACAAAATTACTTTGGTTCTCGCTTACTGTCTCTTCCTTGTACCTAGACGAATTTGCAAGCATATTTAATGATACCGAATAAATAAATGGTTCTTTTACAAAGCTCAAATGCTTCTATAAAGTTCTTTATGACTGATTTATATCAGTTGTTTACTTTTATCTGGCCGATTTCGATTTATTTACAAAGCAAATTGGCAGCTTTTTTAATAGCCCTACAATAACATTACTAGTATTCCCAATTAACCTTTAGAAAATACTTCACTAACCGTTGCTAACACTCACTAGTTAACTAACATTAGTACTAAACCCTTGCTTGCTCATTAACCAATGTTAGTCGTAATCTTTGTTTGCTCACCAAGGCACTCTGCTTGTTGTTTTATTTTTATTTATTAACGATTTTTAAAGAATAAAACTTATGTAATCAAAATAATGTAATGATTCTATCACAGAGTTTTATTTTATTAGAATATTAATTGTACATTTATGTATTTATTCTCCTTGCTTTTTCAAGCAAGGACCCAAAGTTATTTTTTGCTTTTTCCCCGTCCATAGCTATTCAAGTTAATGAAATTTTTGTCACTCCTCGAATCATTCACGTGCGTAACACGTTTATTAATATTAATATAAGAAGAGGCAGAGGTCAAAATTGAGAATGGGTTTGCGACGATAATTCTTACAAAATGACAAACAACTAATACCAAATTTATATATTTAATGGAAAATATGGACTAATCAAAGTATTTTTACACTACTAATCAACAAACATTACATTTTCAGAATGATTCAATAGTGATGTTATCCGGCTAAAAATTTAATGACTTGCTTGCTGGCTGAAAAATTCATTTATCAAGAAACGTACATAATAATAATGCTAATCTCTTGTATATATAAGTTACTATGACTTAAATGATTTAAAATGAATCGCACAATATAAATCATATTTTTATTTATAAATGGATGAAAGCTTCATATCATGATTTAAAAATTTATTGAATTAGCATCTAATATTTTATAGCATTATATATTATAATATGTATAAGAATAATAAAAGAAGAAACGACTTTTGGAAGAAAAAAAGAAATACGCGAAACCTATAGAGAAAAACTAGACAAATTAGTTTGGGAATTATGTAAAAACTCATTATTTATGTAACATTTATTTATCATTAAATAAATATCAATTAAAAAAACTCTCGTTACTACAGTCAACGCTCGATATAAGGAAGAGTTTGTTTTGGCAAAAAACTTCACTACAGTTCAAGTCATCTATAAATGCCACAGTCCGAAATTTACATATTAATATATAAAATGGCTTAATTTTGAAGCTTTATAACTCAAAAATTTTCTAATAAAATGAGTAAACTGATGGAAATGAAGCTTAGTTCTTTAGCTTTAATTTTTTCTTTTTCTTTTTTAATAAGGAATTATAAGCTTTTAAAGTCATGTGATAATAATTGACTGTTATAGATGTCCTGCGCTATATATAAAAAGGTCGGCAAAAAATTAATTAAATTAATGTTAATAATTTCTTCATCAGTAATTTCTTCTTCAGCTCTAATAAAATTTTCTGCACTCAATTCATCAGTCTTCAAGCACAGAGTGTAATTGCATCAGAAATTTTGAGTTGTATTAAGGATTTGGTGTAAAAAAAACATAAGTATCGATCCTGTTCATAACAAGCAATTTTCCATAACGAACCTGAAGAAATGATAAAATGAATATTTGAACTAACAAAAAAAAATTTTATCATTTATTATACTTTACTTTAAAAGAATTTATGACTCCTGAATCAGCAGGTTGTAGGTGAGTAGTAATTGTATTAGGAGGAAGATTATGAAGTGTAATATTCGTTAAAAGAATTCTTTCATCAAGAATGTGGACTGGTGCATTATCAAACAGTAGTAAGTTATTTTTGTTTTCTTTAACCATTTTCTGATTCTATTTTTTTTTAAATACTGATTCCGGGCCAGTAGTAATCGATCGGAAGCTTTGACTTGTCAACACCAACCATGTCTCTTGGTGTTTGATACTTGTGGATAAATAAAGGTGAAGGTTTAACGGTCCCAGTTGCATTCATAGTCAATAAAATGGTTATTCTTTTTTTTTGATTTTTTTGGTACCAGGAAGAGGTCCAGTTTTGATGGTAGAACAAGCCTAATATAAATAAAGTATTTAGTCAATTTATAATAATAATAAATACTATAATTATATTAGAATGCTTTTTAACAATTATAGAAGTTTTCTAGAGGAAATTCACTTATAATTTTCTTCTTTCTTCAAAAATGATTTCTTCAGAATGTGCAGAACTTGTTTCACCATGTAAATTATATTGTTTTATATTATTTCTTTTTTTAAAATTTGAGACCAACCATCTGAGCCTTTAAAATCATTGATTTCTAGTAATTCAGCAAATCTCTTAGCTTTAGCAAGAATTACATCGCCTGTAATTACCCTTTTATTTTAAAGTGCTTGATTGAACCATATAATCAATGAACTTTCAAGCTCGGGATATTTTGAAGTTTTATATTTTTGTTCGTTGGAATTATCAGGATTAACGGATAACCATTTATCTTTATCCTTCAAAATGTTACAAACTGTATTTTCTGCAACTTCAAATTTCCAATCAAGTTCCTTATATGTGAATGATGGATTCCTTTCATGAGATCCACAAAGCTGTTTTTTCTCATCCCAAGTCAAAACTTTTCTTTTTTTGTTTGATTGATCAATTGATGACATTTCTATTTTTTTATTATTAAATATTGTTTTTATTAATTAGTCATCTGATGTTTTTACAAATAATTTATTAAAAAGAAAAATTACATTTCTTTTAAATTACATTACAATTGGTTTTCAACGTAATTGTTTGATCATCAATTTTTTTTCCAACATAATTTAATTGAATTTATTGGCACATATTTAATTATTAATTCTTTATCATTTGATGTTTTCTTTACAACTTACCCATTTTACTCAATATACAATTAATTAATTAGGATAAATTGTTTGTTTTCAATTAAATCGAATGATTTTTTTAATTCGAATTGAAAAAGGTTACACTAATTTTTATATTGTGCAATGTATATAGCTTTACAATACGCGGCAAACATTCTGGCAATAAAAAGTAAGTGGTAAACTGGATTCGAATTGGATCCGAACTTGATCTCCAGTTTAAAGAGGTAATAACTACGTACTGGTGAAGTTTCAGGAGCAATGGGTCCTATATAGAATTTCGTATAATAACAAAATTCCATTATGCTCATACGACCATAAAGAAGGTCTTTTGTATAGTTCTTTTATTAGATCAATGAATCCAATATACTCGACAAGTCGGTCACATGTGCACACCTTATGTGTGTGTGTGACCGACTATCGTGGATTAACGTTAAAAGCCCATATGCTTTCAAAAATAATGTATGAAAATTTTATAAAGTTTGATACCTTTTAATACTAATGAATTACACAAGATGCACATATAAAAGACACTACGAATTTTTTATTGAAAGTTTATCCAACAAAAAATCAAATTGTTAAAATTATATAAAAAAATGAAATTATCAGAACAGACAAGCATTTTTGTGTTATTGGCTCTTGATACGTTATTTTTTCTTACTGAAATTATAGTTGGAAATTATGTAAATTCCTTGGTGTTGATAGTAGACTCTTTTCATGTGTTAAATGATATATTGAGTTTGATTGTTGCATTATATGCTGCAAAGGTAAATAAACTTAGATTTTTTTTTCAATCAAGACAAAATTTATCTTTACAAAAAATTCGTTTGTGTATTTTTACAGATTTCAAAAAGGACAAAATTTTCATCAAAATATTCTTATGGTTGGCAACGTGCTGAAATTTTAGGTGCTTTAATAAACGGTGTATTTTTAATATCACTGTGTTTAAGTATTTTTATTGAGGCACTGCAAAGATTTTTCTATGCTGAAGGTTTGATGATGATTCGTTTGATTATTGTTGTTGTTGTCCATCATCATTAATATAAAATAATAATTTGTTTGTTCATTCAAACTAAATTATTCTTTTAGAAATTAGTCAACCAATACTAGTTCTTATTGTTGGATGTGCTGGAGTTTTTGTTAATTTCATTGGCTTGACGTTATTTTATGGTAAATTTTCCCACACAATTATTTTGTATGAATGTAAAACAATGAATAAATAAAGCAATTATTTTATTTAGAACATGGACATTCACATGGACATGGACATTCGCATGAACATAAAGAAAAGACAGAAAGTATTGATTTGATTTCAACTAAAGAAGAAGAAGAGAAAAGAAAAAGTAATCCAAAAGCAGTTGATGAGATTTATGTTCATCCTGCAAAAGCACGTCAATCAATTTTGTTGGCTGCAAAAAGCTCATCTGCTTTTTTATCTGACGATCAACATGACAATGATTCCATTTCAATAATAACAGAATCAGCAATTTCAAATGATGTAAATCAAAATAATAGTCTTGACGACGATAATAATAATAGCAATAATAAAGAAAAAAATAATACTAAATCTTTAGATAATGATAATAACAATAATTTATCATCATCATTACAAGGACATAAAGAGCATAAAGAACATCATCGTAAAAACCTTAATATGAATGGAATCCTTCTTCATGTTTTGGGAGATTTTGCTAATAATCTTGGTGTGATTGCTGTTGCATTATTTATTCACTTCACCAATTTTTCATGGAAATATTATTCTGATCCAATTGTAAGGTAAATGAATATCAAAATTATATCAAAATATTTTTATTTTTTAAAAGGAATTTTTTTTTAATATATCATTTTATATTCATTATATAAAGTATAATTATTGCTGGAGTAATTTTATCAAGTGCAATTCCATTAGGTAGCTATTATCTTTTTTTCTTTTTTCTTTGAATGTGAATACTTATTTATAAATTGATTATTATTAATCAACTATTAATTATCATTTAGTTCGAAGTGCATCTTTTGTTTTATTGCAGGCAGTTCCATCAGATGTTTCTATTGACAATATTCGAGATAAATTAAAAGCTGTAGGTTCTTTTATTTTGAGAAATAATTGTTATTTTTTATAACGAAAATAATAATTAAATATTATTCATTATCTAACAGGTTGAAGGAGTAGTATCAGTACATGAATTACATATCTGGCAATTATCAGATACAAAAATTATAGCATCAGTGCATGTTCTATTATCTTCAAGAGATTATATCTTAATATCGTCAAAAATTAGAAAAACTTTACATTCATATGGAATACATTCAGCCACCATACAACCTGAATTTGTTAAATTTGATGAACAAACTACCAATTCTGATAATGAGAATAGTGGTGATAGTGAAATGCGTTATATTGTGACTAATCCTTGTGATTTGAATACCGTTGATGATAAAAATTATGTAAGTAACTTAACATTAAAAATGATTTCTTTTTTTAATTTTACGAAATTTTATTCATTTATCATTCGAATATATTTATTGATATTGTAGGAGGGTCAAGAGTATGAATGTCTTTTACGTTGTGCAGAAGAAGATTCATGTAATCAAAAACTATGTTGTCCATCACCTCCCAAGACTAATTCAGATGCATCAATAAATATCAAAGAATAAGATATTATAATTTAAGTATTTATATTACTATTATTATTATAGAATTATTATGATTTGATTTGTATCCATCGAGCGCTTTATTCAAGTATTTTCATACAATTTAACTTGAATGACAAGATTTTATGAATAATATATATATGTATATATATATTATTATATGCTAGAATTTCAATCAATCTATTAATTTAAATTTATATTGAATTAACAAAATAATTAGCATATAAAAACAAGTAATTAACTGATCGCCACTTTTTTTGTGCATTATATATATATATTAATTAATTTTATTGATCAACTCCTTTAAACTTGCAAAAACAGAAAATACTGTTGCTATTGCTTTTATTTTATCATCATCGCTGTATTTCTCATCCAAATATTTTTCTAATATTTTTATAATATTTCAGCTGCAACTTTTCCTCAATTTTTCAGTTTTGCCTTTTTTTTTGCATACTGTACAAACTTCTATTACATGTGATCTCCATTCTCTCTTTTCAAATCTTTCTTTGGACATTTTTAAATTGGTGCCCTGTAACTGCATTAATTCAAGCAAACCCAATTCTTCTATAAATTGAGGTCTTGGAACATAAATAAAAGGTTTTTATTTTGGATTTCCAATATATTCTGAGCCCTAAAAATAAAATAAATCTATATATATATATATACACACACTTATAAAAATTTTGATTAGATTTGCTAAATCACAATTGTAGACAATTTTATCACACGAACCACCACAGAAAATCGCAATACAATTATCAATGAATTGGAATTCACATTTTTCATGTTTTTTCTGGTATTCCAAGATTTTTCAATACAATATCCCTTGATGATTTTGCTTTTCCTTGCTACTGATGGTAGATATCATTCTTATGGTTATTATCATCGTTCTTATGATTATAAAATCCAATTTATTTATAGTTGAATTTTTGCAGAAAAATTAAAATTTCCCTGCATGATGTAGTAATAAAATTGATCAATTATTTATCACATTCTTATTATTATGTAAGATAAATTCAATTAAGAAATTGTTACACAAAAGTTATGTTGAGTAAATTGAAAATCGTAAATATATTTTTTTGAATTGGAAAATTATTTTATCACGTACAATATAATAACTTACTCATTTAATTTGACCCCCTCATATATATATACCTGCCTACACATACATAGATATATGCTTTACCATATATAATAAATAAATCTCTTGTTAGCACTTTTCTTATTGAATAATTTGTAACATTTAAAAGTGGAAAAGTGGCAGTAAAATATAAAAATAACTATACAATAACAATTATTTCTCTCCACCATGGGCAATGTTAGTTCTTCTTTGGAAGAACAACCAATATTATTTATAAAAAAACCAGATCGATGTGAGTTACAAAAAATAATGTAAACATTTACTGGTTTTTATTAAGCATCAATTTTTTACTGAAAAACAAATACTCTTTATTTCATTTTATGCTTCAAATAATCAAGTCAACATTTCAGAAATAATAGTATCAAATCATAACAATGATCCGTACATTTCTTTTCCTGTTGCGTCAAACTATATTTCCGCAATACCCAACACCATAGATCTCATAGAGTTTTTACAAGATCCAAATTCCAAGGCTGTAGATCCCAACAAACTACTACTGAAATTGATAAAAGGCGAAGATATGGAACTCAAACTAAAATTTAGATTTAATATTGGAGGCAGTGACGAGAAAAAATCTGGCATAAAAGGACTTACATTTATTAATGTTGCTAGTGAAAAAGAGTTGGCTAGGATATTGACTGTCGAGTTCAACGATGATCCTAATGTAAGTTTTTTCCTCCAATATAATTTTTAAAGATTAAAATTTCATATTAAATTTGTTATTATTTATTTCATAGTTACATAAACATCCAAATGTGACTTTGATAGGAGATTATGGACCTGACGGCAATAAACCCTCAGATAACGAATGGACATGGAAGTGGTCACCTCCCCACAATATGGATGAAATTCATCGCGGCTGGAGAAACCATTGTTGCGTGAGTCATTTAATATTTAAAAATAATCTTTTGATAATATTAAATAATCATCGTTGGATGATTTTATTAATTACTTTCTCTTGCTGTTCTTGTAGTTTGCTGAATATGATAAAAAAAATCATTCTTTTCAGCTGTTAGCATCGTTTACGTTTTGGGTTGCTGGTATATTATATTTAGTTGAAACTTATTTCATTCATTTGATTTCATTAAAAATTTTTTGTTAACTCAACACATGATTGACTTTAATAGATATTTCGCGAAGCCACCGTTATCGAACGCCTAAACATTCAAATTCTGCCGAAAAAATATCGGTTTTATCCGGAGAAAAGAAAGACGGCAGCGGCTATGCATCATCATCATCATCATCATTACAAGCATCTCAATCAATGCCAATTGTTGTTGGCCATTCACTTAATGCCCGATCATCAAGTCCTGAAAATATGTTTCTTTCCATTCCTAATAATAATAATAATAATAATAATAATAACAACCACAATAATAATAATAATAATAACAACAACAACAATAGTAATAACAATGCATCATCACCTCCACAGAATTTAGGCAAATCGCCATCCATTACTAGTGGTGGTGCTGGGAGTTGTCGTCAATCATCAGAAGATTTGACGTACGAGTGTGAGCCTGAGGACGGACCTCTGTTTCGTGCAACTCTTACAGCATTTGAAAAGAAAACGGTTTCATTGAAACATCATATTAAAAGAATATTGAAAGCTGCCATTGCTTCTCATGAGTTTTTGATCGGATCTCAGGGAGCTGACCAAGAACTTTTAGACGCTTTAAGGGATGCTGCTGTATCTCATCCACAAGCCTTTCAACCTGTGCTAGATAGTTTCCTTGAAGAGGCGTATAAAAAAATTAGCTTATATCGAGAGAATGTTGCAAATCAAATGACCATGTTGCTCATAGAACCCTTACGTAAATTGTATGAAAATGATATAAAGGTGGCCGATAGCAAAAAGAAGGACTTTGAAGAAGAATCGCGCGACTACTACCAATTTCTCTCTAAATACTTGTCTATTAAAGTTGATTCTGCAAAAGAAAAGAAAAAACTTGAATCTGATACAAAATATCAAAGTAAACGTAGAAATTTTGAATTAAAAAAGTTTGATTATTATGCATATATGCAAGATCTTCATTGCGGTAGAAAAGATCAAGAGATTTTATATCATTTGATAAATTTTGCAGAACAACAATTTACTTTCTATCAACTGACAGCCACTGGTATTTTAGATATGAAACCGGGGTTAGATAAATTGGGTATAGATGTTGCTGAAGCAGCAAAAGAGAATCATTTAATGAGGAAAGAAAGAGAGGAAAGACGTAGAGCATTGGAAATTCGTATGTCACCAAATTCAACACCAACTGTCGAGAATCTTAATGAATATGATTTATCGAATAACAGCCATAATAATAATATTGGCGGTGGTGGAAATATAACGGATAATACAAATGATGGCACAGATAACGTAACAATGAGTCAAATAGGTTCATTAGTTCTTGCAGCAAATCGATTCAAAGGAATTCGTGATTTGGAACATCATGATACAGAATCTGCATCATCGGTTGGTAGAAAGAAGGAAGGATTTTTATTTGCTACATCGCGGGCAACACAACATGGAACTACAGATCCAATCGCAAAAAATACTTGGCACAAGTAAGCAATTTTTATCTTTATTATTAAAATTTGAAATTAGTTAATATAAATAATTAATAATAAATAAATAAAACAACAATAATAGATATTGGTGTGTTTTGGCTGGTGGACAACTTTGTGAATATAGTAATTGGAAAAAACAATTGGAAACACATAACGAGCCAATAAATTTACGATTTGCCACTGTTAGAGAAGCAAGGGGGATTGACCGCCGATTTTGTTTTGAAGTAATTACACCACAATTTAGAAGAATATATCAAGCAATGTCTGATGATGATATGAGTTCTTGGGTTACAGTAATTTCCAATGCAATAGAGAGCCTTCTAAATGGTACTAGTAGTTGTCGTAATTTAGATAATCGAATTTTAACTTCAGATACAGGAGATCCTGGAGCAGTAACGTTGTTTAATAATACAAAATCAGTAAAAAGAAGAGGAACTCTACCCAGCTTGTCGGATAAAAGGAAGAATGACATGAAAAAAAATCATGTTGCTGTTTCTTCAATATCTGAAGAATCAAAAAGGCCTACACAATTAAATGGACAAGCTCGTAAAAATTCAATTTTTAATAAAAACTCTACTAAAATTCTTGAAGAAATCATAGGCTCAGATGCATCTAATGTTTATTGTGCTGATTGTGATTCTCGTAAAACAGAATGGTGTTCAATAAATTTGGGAATTGTATTATGCATTGGTAATTATCATTCTAGATAATTTATTTTTTATTATTTATTTATTTTATTATTTAAATTAAAAAATTTTTTTTTTCAATAGAATGTTCTGGGATTCATCGTAGTTTAGGAACTCATGTTTCAAAGATTAGATCCCTTACTTTGGACACAACTTCTTATACACCAGATCTTGTTCAATTGATTAAATCTATTGGAAATGCTCGTTCTAACGCAATTTGGGAAGCAAATCTTTTGCACTCTGATGAAGAAACTGATTTACCGCCGATCCCACCTTCAAAGGATGACGCGCCTCCTCCAGTACCACCAAAGGATCATATACCATCCAAAGGTCAAAATTCAGATTGGGATGATCTTATTAATCTTATGACACCAACACCGGCATCGACGTCATCTACCGCCCCCACTACATCACTAATAATTACACCGTCATCACCACTATCATCGCCATCAATAGGATCCAAAAAAAAAATGGTTAAAATGAAAAAACCATCAAGTACAGATTCTCGTGATATCAAGCAGAAGTTTATTACATTGAAATATGTTGATAAAGCTTTTGTTGATTTTTCACTTGTTGATGAAGATAAGACGGCAACTGATATACTTTTTGAGGCAGTAAAGATGAATGATGTTCCTCAAGCAATGCAAGCGATTGCATTGAAAGCGGATTTAAATGCTACAAGACGTTTTGAAGTTGCAGATGATCATGGATTGAAGTCACCGGTGATATTAGCCTTACTTCATATCGAACCTTCAAGAATGATATTTGAAAGTGGGAGACCTTTGTTCCAGATGGCAGAATTACTTTTACAAAATGGCGCAAGTCTTGATAATGTCTTGTCAGATAATCTTGTGGAGATACTTGGTGTAGCATCACAACCAATTACACGAAGTTCTGCGAAAAGTGTAGGTACTTGGACTAAAGATATAGTGAATGATATAAAGAAATCAGGGAAAACTGTGTATGATGTTGTTCAGTCAAGTGGGAATAATGCAGCAATTCGATATCTTACACCAAAAATGCTTGCGAGAGGAACTTTAAATCCCACTATTAATTCCATCAGCAATAACAACAACAATTCTATTTCTAATTCTAATTCTATCATAACAACGACAAGCACTGGTGGTTTAGCAGGAGGACAAATTCCAGAAAAAAAGCTATCAACCTCAAACATAGGTCGGTCAATATCAGTAACAGTCAAAAATGTATTGTCATGACAGGTTCATAACTTTGCGTTATTAAAAGAGTGATTGCTAAGATTTTATTTATTTATAATATTAATGCTATTTTATTTATTTTATTTTAATTAATCTATTGTATTAAATTCTATTAACTAACTGCTTATATATAATATTTTATTTAAATTCTATGTTAAATTATGTTAATTGTAATAATAATATATTTGATATAGAGTTGGCGGAATTAATTAATTAATTTTATATTTTATTTATTTATTTATTTAAATCCTTGTATATATATTTGTTTAAATAAAAAGAATACGAATAATTTTTGCCTAAAGGAAATAACTTTTTTTGGCCGTGTTTTTTACTCGGATTATTATGACTGATTATTTGCAATGAAATTACTCAAATCTTTAGTAAATGTTTCCTAATAAATTATTATTATTATTTAAAAATATCCGACACAATGTAACAATTCATATTTAAATTTTTGTTGCCATTCTTCAATAATATTTGTAATCTCTTGATCCAAATCTTTTGATTTTTCATTATCAATCTGTTTGTTTTAGAGAAAGAAAATTAACCATAATATTAAATAAATAAGCAGTCATCAATTCAATCCATACCGTTTGTGCAAGTTGCAATATGGCTCGACCTGCTAACATAGCATCTTCATGATTATCTTTAATATCGATATTAATCACATGAACTGGTATGTTTCGTTCTTCTCCACGATCTACCAAATCTATCATATATGCATATTATTTTACAATAAATATTACTTAATCAAATAAATATATTAAACATTAATCTTTTCTCTTCTACACCCACTTCTTTCTTATTCTTCTTATTCTTCTTATTCTCTAATTATTGCTCTCCTAATTATTATCATTGTTATTATTATTGTTATTTATTACCTTCACAAATTGCATCAAAGCAACGTTCTTCACATGTAATAATAACATCAAAATTTTCTTTTGCATTAGTGTACCATTGTTCAGGTGCTAATTTAATTTTCCGATTTCTATCTAACATATCTAACAATCCATTTTGTTTATATCTAATAATAATAATAATAATTAAGTATTGGATACAAATTTCGAGCTTTATAAATAAATATTATCACAAACGCACGCACACACATACAACTTGGGATCTTTCATAAATAAATCTTGATACATGTACTCATATGGTGTACCAAACTGATATATATTTGGTTTATCGATACTAGGTCCTGGGAGTCTAACAGCCGAGCCTGTCCCGTAAGAACTAACTGAAAATCCACGTTTACTACATACATATTGTAATTTAATATGGGATGTATGTATATATATACATCATATTATATATATAATATAAATATAATTAATGCTTACGATAAAACATGATGTGCTTCCATACTACGATTTTGATTGCTTGCGCACACAACAGCAAATGATTTGCCCATTATTATTATTTTTTATAATTAGTTGAATTCTGGGCAAAGAAGTTTTTTTGGAAATTTAGACCGTGCGACATACGTAATAGTAATAATGAAATAATGAATGGCCATCTATTCGTCTTACCTCAAACTATATAGTGCTTACAAGGACCGCAGTTTTAGGTCCTTTAACATTTTTAAGAATTGACTCCTATCTTTCAAATTACATAAATAATACACATTTAAATACTTTTTAGAAATGACAATGACAAGTGAAGAAAATACCAATTCTAATGCTATTCCTAATCCCGAAGCACAAATAACTTATCAAAAGAATTGGGAGTATGAACAATCTATAAAGAAGGAAGAGGCAGGTAAAATACCTCTTATATGTCTTGAAGAAGATATTAAATCTTTATATTCTGAATATGAAAATGGCAGTGAAACATATCGTAGCAAGATCAAGGTTCGTTGTTATTTATATTAATCTCGTATTATTTATTTAATAAATTGGCATTTAAGAGTTTCTCCAAAAAAATAACATCATAATTAATATAATAATATTTATTTATTTGTAGAAATTGGCAGAAAAGCATAGTAAAATAAGAAGATGTCGTGGTGATGGAAATTGTTTTTATCGAGGTAGTAAATTAATCTTTTCTTTTTTACACTCACATGTATATGCTTATAATTATGAATAATAATTATAACAATTATCATGATTTTTATTTAGCATTTGGATTTGCATGGTTTGAAAGACTCATGATGTGTAACAATCAAAATCTTCGACAGGCCGCACTTAAATCTTTTGCCGATACAAAAGATCTTCTTAAATCAATGGGTTATGAATTGTTTGTTTATGAAGTAAGTTACGAGGAAGTAGAGGACAGATTGAAAGCTGTTTGTAACGGCGAACATGTTGGAGAAACTTTATTGTCAATATTTCAAAATGATGAAGTTTCAAATCATATTGTATGGTATCTTCGAGCAATCACGGCAGCATACCTAAAAAAACATCGTGAAGAATATGAACCATTTATTGAATATGGATTAGAAATGGATCAATACTGTGCTAATTGTGTTGAAGTTATGGCTCAAGAAGCTGACCATATTCATGTTATTGCATTAACAAAAGCACTCAAAGTTCCTGTTGAAATTGCATATATGAGTGGTTCAGAAATATTGGATGAAGTTAATTTTCATGAATTTTATTTTGATGAAGAAGAAGAAGAAGAAGAAAAAAAGAAGGAAGATAATGAGGGAGAGAAAAATGGAGGAGAGAATGAGGGAGAGAAAAATGGAGGAAAGAATGAGGGAGAGAATGAGAAAGAGAAAGAAGAGAAAGAAGAAGAGAAAGGGAAAGAGAAAAAAAGGGCTCCTAAGGAACCACTTACTCTTAAACCTTTAGTTTTATTATACAGACCAGGACACTATGATATTTTATATCGTAATGAATTCTGATGGATTGTTACGATAATTTAAATATATATATTTTTTAATTATTAATAAGGAATTTGTACAAATAAATATAAATATAAATAATAAATATATAAAATAGCAATAATAGTAATAGTAATAATAATATGTTTATTTTATTTGTTTATAATAATAAATATTTGACGGCATTTTCCTTCTTCAAAATAAAAAACTTTGTTTCAGATCCTTTCTTTTGGCGTGAAATTCTTATAAAGTATAATCAATTACACTCTTTCAATTCTTCATTATCAAAGCCATTGTATTATTATTATTAACATTATCTGCTACTTTGAATATATATTATATATTATGAAGTTTAAACATTATGAATAGATAAATATTTTTTATTCTAAATCATCATAATAAAGATGGAAGTTGAGATTGATGATAATGATTAATAAGTTGTCAATGTAGTAGTATAAGAGATTGATTTAGATTATTATCAATTCTGAAATGCATCCAAGGGGATTGATTTAATAAGTGTTGTCTAATAAAAACATATTAATAGTAAATGGATGATGGATATCTGCAGATTGTATCACTAATGTAACCTTCTTTAACTATCTTTTCACACATTCCATTACAAAATCCTTAGATTCTGTTTTTTTTTTTTTTGTTTTGAAATAGATGAAAACTCATTATTTTTAAAAATTCTATTTTAAAAGTTTAAGTTCCAATTTTCTATTAAAACACCCAATAAAATATCCTTTTAAATCCACCTCATGATAAAAAGTGATCGTATTTAAATTTTTTGGTAGTGCTCATTTAAAATTTTGAATATTCTATCCCATCCATATCCATCTTACCATTCATCTCAAATCTAATTTTTTTTTAATTTTATACAATTAATGAGTAATTATTCCCCATTTATACTGTGAGATTGTAAACCGTGGACCAACCAATTGACCGTTAATATTGACCAATTAGAACGAACTTACTACGGAAGTCAT